GACGGGCATTCAAAAGACCTCTAGAACCTCTCTGCGATCTCCAGTCACACAACCACCATGAAGATTTCTAGAACACCCTCGCTCACCAGTTTAACTTTCCAGAGGATGAATAGAACCTCTTCAGTGACAACCACAACCTCTTAAAGTTCCCTCTTCACAGATAACCACTTAGGAGATGTCTCAACCCCCATCCAAAACTACACAAATCATTACTAGAACCAACATTAGCACGTCTGAAACATCCTCAGAGGCCAGCGCAACCTTCTCAAGAAAAACTAGAATCTCTTCAACCTCCTAAAGAGTATGTAAGAGTCCCTTCACAGAAAAATACCTCATAGACCTGTAGAACATCACCTCACAACCACCTCGAGGATTTCAGAGACCAGCATGACCTCCTAAAGGATGACTAGAACCTCTTCGATGGCGACAAAACGTCCCTTAGCACCACAAAAGCCCACTTCACAAATAGAACCTCCTAATAAACCTTTACAACCTTTAGTCATGCCTAGACTCACATTAAGGACATGGAGGACATCCTCAGTAATGACTAGAGTTTCCTAAAGCTATTACCTGACAATAACTGTGGCTTCAGACCATCCAGGAAGTGAAGCTCTGAGCACTAATTAGCATCTGTGTGTGTGGATGCAGTATTTATATAAGGATATGGGAAACAGCGACACAGAGTAGGTGTAACTAAGTAAAGGTTTTCAGTCTTTAATGCTTTTCTGTTGTTGTTTGGACGTAAACTGTACTGAGTCATCATCAGTACAACACAGAGCAGAACATGTAAAAACATGCAGAGGAAACAGCAGCTGATTGTCCGGCGGCTCATTCATACAGAGAGGCCGGGTCCATTCACGCTGTGAGCCGAGTGGGAGACGAGGGTTAAATGTTCCTGATTAACTCCTCTGATGCTGATTTTAATTAAACTGCTGTTTAAGCAGCGAGCTGCAAATTCCTCAAACACCCACAAACCCAGAAGACGAACAACAACAGCAGAAAGGAGACAGAGACGGACGGCTGCTGGACGGACGCAGAATCAAGAGTTTGTGTTGCTGAACGCTGCTTATCTGACCATCTGCATTACTTCCTGTCTCGGGCTTTGATGTTGCAGTGCACACTTTCAGGCCTGTTTACATCATTAGTACATTAACTTCCATTCATTTCCTGGACACTTATCCTTAAACCATAACCTAAACGAATCCGTCAAAAACAAATAACTCGACTGACCACAGCGACGCATCCATCGTAAAAATATTCTGCTTCAGCAGTTTAAACTAAAAGTCACGTTTCCAGCTGAAACCGGTCACGCTACAGTACCAATGGTGTCCATCATAACAATGATATCCTAACAACATTATGCAGCAATTACATCCAACCAGGAAGCAGTTTGTCCAGCGTTGTCCAATCAGGGGGCAGTCGTTGGAACCACAGAGCTCGTTCAGGTTCTGATACCCGATAATTGACTGTCGTTGGGCATTAGATCATCTACACTTACATAAACCTGCTTACAGCGCTGCGAAAAAGCGTTTTTACTGTTTCTTTTTTTGCTATTTGTCACTTTTATGTTTCTCAGATCATCAAATAAAATGTAATATTAGACGACCATGACCTGAATCACTTTGTCACAATTTTATTTTTATTTGTCACAGTTTTATTTATACGGCGCCGAATCACAACAGCAGTCGAGGTGCTTTACAGTGTAAGGTAGACCCTACAATAATACATACGTGGTATGTTATGAGGTACTTTTCCTAATAACTTAGTTCATCATTTAAAAACTGAAAGAAGCTCCCACAGAGGCTGAACATGCAGTTCCTGTAACGTCCAGCAGGGGCACCAGCAGTGAGGCAGTCCCACAGACGTCCACATTATAATCTGACAGCAGAAATAAACATGTTTACAGCCTGATACACAAACTGTTTGGCCCTGTGTTGCTGAGCTGATCGCTGTCTGTGAGGCTTCACCACCGCTAATCGTTT